GGCGGGGGCTGGGCCCGAGGGCCGAGTACTGACCGAGCGGCGGCGAGCGCAGACCGCTGACCGGAGACAGTAGCTTCACAGAGAGCAGTGGCGATGGCGACCGCGATGGCACCGACGGCGGTGGAGCGGGCGGTGCTGGTGAGGCGCACGGGCGGTTGGGCGGGGCAGGGTGGGGGCGGCGGGCCCGGGCGGCTGACCGCGGCCTGTCCCGCCAGGAGGAGGAATTCCGCTGGCTGCTGCACGACGAAGTGCACGCCGTGCTGAGGCAGCTACAGGACATCCTAAAGGTAATGTCTCGCGGGCGGCCGTGGGCCTTTGCGTGCGTCCATCCTCCGCAGCCTTCCCTAGTGCGGCTCCTCCGCTGGCCTGCCGCGCCCGCCTCCCTAGCGCCTACAGGGTACGCGGAGCGCAGTGTTCTGACGGGGCTTTGTCGTCGGTGCACTTGGGAGCCCAGTCGGGGGCGCCAGCAGATAATCACCCTGTTTCACCAGCAGCTGTGTGAGTGCTGTGGGTCTGAGAGAGCCTCGGAGTGCGGACGGGGTAGGCCTTCTTTGAAGCGATGACATTTAATCTGAGATCAAGGACCCCAACATTGTGACACTAGCTAAATACTCAATCTTCCTGGGCCTCCCTGTCATTTGCAAAAAGGAAGTAACAGTACCTGCCTCAAGGTTGACCTGAAGATAAGCCGGTCAACTCACAAATGTTCAGGCATTGCCTGGTATGGTCAGAATTGCGGGTTGCCATGACTACCGGGGTTCCCTGACCCTGTTCCTCACACCCGAGCACCTGAACCAAGCTGGGAGAGTATTCCTGTTTTATATCCCCATGTTGGGCACAGGCGCCCAGGGAACGTGGAAGGAGTGGGTATTGGCTTGGGTAGGACCTGAAACTCGGGCCCTGGGGGAGGAACCAGAGCCGTGGGAAGGTGCCCTGGGGGCTTGGGTAGGACGTTCCATTCCGTGAGGCCAACCCATCTTGTTCCTCCCCTTTGCCCCCCAGGAGGCCTCTCTCCGCTTCACTCTGCCAGGCTCAGGCATGGAGGGGCCTGCCAAGCAAGAGAACTTCATTCTGGGCAGCAGTGGGTAAGCCCTGGCTTGGTGGAAACCCCTGGGATGGGCTCCTTAGGGGGGTGAGAACACCTGGGTTGGAACATCCTATGACAGAGCCACAAGGGCCCAATGGGAAGGCCTGGTGGTAGGAGGGATCGGCTGCAGGTTCTGCTCTGACCCCCATGTGTTGCAGCACAGACCAGGTGAAGGGCGTGCTGACTCTGCAAGGGGACGCGCTGAGCCAGGCGGTGAGTCCCTGGTCCCTCTCCCTTTCTGTGGAGGAGCCAGTGAGGAAGAGCATGGGGGCCTCCTGCTCATCTCAGCTCTGCCACTGGCTGGCTGTGTGACGCAAGGCAGAATCCTTGACCATCCTGGGCCTCAGTTTCTTCATCTGTAAATGACAACAACCCCCAGTGTCCTCAAGAGATTAGTGAGAAGTTTCATTGAGCACAGGAGAGGGATGCTCTGCACATGGCCCAGCCCAGAGTCTGGGCCTGGTGAGACATGGGCATTGGCAGGATTAGGCTGGCCCCAGATCAAAGTGGCATCACCAGCATCTGAGCTCCATCTGCACCCGGCCCTGTGCCAGGTGCCAAGGTATGGGAGAAGGTCCTCGTCCTTCATGAGTGGGTATTCAGTCCATGAGCCTGTGCAGATGTTCCCTGTCTGCCCTCCATCACATGCCTCCTCCCAGCTGAGGCCACCTTCTCCTTTCTTGGCTCCTTTTCCCTTTCATATCTTTGTGCTTCCTCTTGGGCCTGAGTTCCTGTTTCCTGACCGCATGTTCACCCCCGCCCCCCAAATGGCCATGGTATTGGGAGTCCTCCCCCCTCCCCTGCCTAGGAGAGGCTGAGGCCTGAACCACCACTGTTTCCACCCTTGGCTCAGAGGCTCAGAATGGCCAAAAGCAGAAGGGCATCCCTCTGCCCAGCTTACCCCACTCTCACCCATCAGGATGTGAACCTGAAGATGCCCCGGAACAACCAGCTGCTGCATTTTGCCTTCCGGGAGGACAAGCAGTGGAAGCTGCAGCAGGTAACCAGGCCTTTCCCCAGCCAGGGCTCAGGCCACAGGACAGGCAGGGGCAGGCCTGCACAGTGGTGCTAAGGCCTCCAGGGACAGGACACTGGGGATTTTCTGCCACAGCAAGCCTGATAGGGTGTTTCCTAGCAGGGAAGCTGGGGTAGGAGGAGCCTGGGCTCCAGAACCTAGCCTTGTGGGAGGTGGAAAACCTGTCCGTATGTCCCCAAGCCTCAGCCAGCGCCACAGGGCTCCCCCTTGAACAAGTCATTCCCTGCCCAAAGTTTCCAGGGGATTCCTATGGCTCTCTTCTTTTTTAAAAAAATTTTTATTGATTTCCAAGAGGAAGAGAGATGGGGAGAGAGATAGAAACATCAATGATGAGAGAGAATCATTGATAGGCTGCCTCCTGCACGCCCCCTACTGGGGATCAAGCTCACAACCCCGGCTTGTGCCCCAACCAGAAAACGAACCATGACCTCCTGGTTCATATGTAGAAGCTCAACCATTGAACCACCTGAGTCGGGCTCTCTGTTTTCTTTTTTCTTCTATTATGAATGTCCCCCCTCTCTCCCCTAGGGCTTCACCACATTATTGTCTGTGTCCATGGACTATGCATATATATTCTTTGGTTGCTCCATAGCTCATGGACAACGTCCATGTTCCCTATCCACTCCTATGTGACTGGGCCTCAACTTCTGCTCCCACACACAACTGGCCACCAGCAGTCTCCATATTTGGGCCTTTGCTCTTGCTTGTCCCTCTACCTGGAGTCTCTCCACAAGCTTTTCTCATCACAAGAGTGATGCGTGTCAGCTCAAGAATCACTTCCTTGGGGCCACCTCAGATCCCCATCTAAAGAGGCTCCCCTAACTCCCTCCATCACCCTGTTTATTTCCTTGTGTGAGTCACGCAGTCTGCTTCTTGTGCCTTTACTCTAGTACCATCTGTCCTCCTTTAGAAAGTGAGCTACATGAGGCCAGGGACCAAGCCTGCCTCAGTCTGTGCCATGTGCATTCACCCAACCAGGCAGGAAGCCAACAGCTGTGGGGGAGGAGTCAGGCAGGCAGCACCCACCCACCCCTCCAAGGATGACAGCCCCTCGGAGTGGGGGCTCATTGGCTGGGGCCAGCCCACTAACCCCTCCGTGGGCACTGTTTTCAGATCCAGGATGCCAGGAACCACGTGAGCCAAGCCATTTACCTCCTCAACAACCGGGATGAGAGCTACCAGTTCAGGACAGGAGCAGAGGTCCTTAAGGTGAGTTGCCTGCAGGGACAGGGGAGCCAGGTTTCCCACACCCACCCTGACCCCTGACCAGGTTCCTGGAGAACTCTGCCCCCGTGTCCTCAAGTATAGCTGACAGCTAACCCTTCACCTTTCCGTGTACACATGTCCATCCAGTCATAGTCAAATAGCTCATAGCCCAAGCTTCAGAATCAGACCTGGGTTCTGCTCCTAGGGCCTCCACTATTAGCTGTACAACTTCAAGTCACTTAATTAACCACTATGTGCCTCCATATCCTCCCCTGCAAAAAGGGGATAAGATATAGTGACTACCAATTGTTATAATGCAGGTAAAGTGACCCCTAGTAAGTGCTCAGTAAATAGTAGCTGCTAGTAGTAGTACCAGCAATAAGAAAAAAACCCTGGCAATGAACAAAGTCAATTCACAAAGCATGGAGGGGAGAACTGAGTCTGGATGCCCTGGACCAGTCCCCAGGTGGTTCACCTACCCTCTCTGGACCTCTGATTCTTCATATGAAACTTGGAATTAGATGGACTAAGGTCCCTCCCAGAACTGTGACCGCCCCGGGGAGGGGGGGTATATAAGCTGCAGCCCCATGCCTCCTCCCAGTAGTTTTGCCTTTCCTGGGAGCCAGGTCAGCCTAGCATCTACAGCAACAGCTGGAAACAGTGGAAACTGGGGCTCTGAGGAGTCCAAGTAAGGGCACTGCTCTGTAGTAAAGGAAAGGAATTAGTTCTAGATGGTTCCACAGTTCACAAGCTATGTGACTTTATCTCTTCAGAGTCTCTGTTTCTTCACCTGTGAAATGAGGTTGATGTCTGACTTAAGGCATCAACTCAATTGCCCCATTGTTTCTTCCAGGAAACCCTCCCTTGCCCCTTGCACCCTAGCCAGATTTGGGCCCCTTGTAAGCTCCTTCATTGCCTGTACCCCCATCCACCAAGCCTTCATGCCCCTGAGACTAACTCCTGGCATCTCATTCCCCATTGGACCAGTCCAGAGGATCCCATTCAGTAGAACCTCCTGGATGGGTGGTACATAGTACAGACATCCTCCCCTCCTCCCCCTACGTCCCCCAGGCCCCAATTACCTGCATTTTTAACAAGCCCCCACTTTAGCGGGGTTCGGGCCCTGAGACTAGGACCACCAGGGCAGGAGCTAGAGCCACCATAACTTTGTCGTTCCCTGATGCTGGGGTGGGGGGGATGGAATTAGCCCTTACAGCAGCTGTGACTAACCCCTTCCCTCCAGTTGATGGATGCCGTGATGCTGCAACTGACCAGAGCTCGCAACCGGCTGACCACCCCGGCCACCCTCACTCTGCCTGAGATTGCCGCCAGTGGCCTCACGGTCAGTGCCTTGGGCCAGGACAGCGGGTTCCTGGAAAGGGACACAGGGGTGCCAAGGGGTCAGAAGCTCCAAACTGTCATCAGCAGGAGTTCTATGTCTCTGTCTCTGCAGTTTTCTGAGATAGGGTCCTCACCTTCCCTCCTGTGTCCCCCCAGATGCATCACCCTGTCGAAACAGTGGTTCCCAAACCAGCAGAGCAGGAAGTTACCCAAGGCACCTGGGAAGAGGCTAGATGCCCCAGTCCATATGATGAGGGCTGAGATTCCCCCAGGTGGTTTTTGGGGGGCTTCTCCCTGCCCTACCTTTATCTCACTTGCCTGTCTTTCCCCTACCCCCACCCCATCCTCCAGCGTATGTTCACCCCTGCCCTGCCCTCCGACTTGCTGGTCAACGTCTACATCAACCTCAACAAGCTCTGTCTCACTGTGTACCAGCTGCACACCCTGCAGCCAAATTCCACCAAGGTAAGCAGAACCCTACCAATCCCCAACCCCGACCTCTGCCCCCACTGACCCATGCCCTGCAACCCCAAAGGCCTGAGACTGGGTCTGATGCTCTTCTGCCTAGAACTTCCGCCCAGCTGGAGGCTCCGTGCTCCACAGCCCTGGAGCCATGTTGTAAGTACACTGTTGGGAGGGGTGCCCTGGAGGGCCCTCTACACCTCAGGGGCTGCGGGACTCAGGGACCTGACCCTCTGCCCACAGTGAGTGGGGCTCCCAGCGTCTGGAGGTGAGCCATGTGCACAAAGTGGAGTCGGTGATCCCGTGGCTAAATGATGCCCTGGTCTTCTTTACCGTCTCCCTGCAGCTCTGCCAGCAGCTCAAGGATAAGGTGGGAGCACAGGGGTGGTGGGGTCTGGGGCTGAGCCACAGTCTCAAACAGATGAGGCCAGCTAGGCAATAGCCCCTTCATTTTGGGTATTCCAGGGGCTCTTGTCTCAGGGCCAAAGCACCCCCAAATCTTAAGGTCTTTTGTACTCGCCGCACACACCAGGCTGATGGGCCATTGTGTTGCTGGGCAACAGTACGCTCTCCCTGATGCATTGCCCTTGGATAACCTTGAAATCTCACCTGAGTCACAGGGTGCAACAGGGGCCAGGCCCCCCAGCACCACCACTCACCATGCCCCCCCCACCTTCCTCCCTCCCTAGATCTCGGTGTTCTCCAGCTACTGGAGCTACAGGCCTTTCTAAGCAGAGCACCCAAGAGCCTGTCCCCCTGAGGAGTGGCCCCTACCCAAGGTGTCCCTGCCCCTACCACACACCCTGGAGTGTGGCCCAAGCCAAGCACTACAGGCAATTTACTTCCCTCCTTGCCTGTCCTGCCCGTCACATTTGCACAGATGGGAGTTGAACCCTGGAACTTCTGGAATGAAGGGAAGCTGGCTTGCTTTTTGCTTGGGGTGGGGGTGGGTCAAGAAGGTGGGGTCAGGAGTTGGCCCACATTCCAAGCCCTGCCCTTTGGACTCAAGGTGGAGCCCAGCCCAGGGCTCTCCTTCCCCCCTGCTGAGCTGCCCCCAGGTGAGGGGCAGCTGCACTCCTCCCGCTGGAAGGTGAGGAGTGGGTGGTGACCCTAAGCTGTGAGTTGGGAGGGAAGGAAAAGGAAAGGGCAGACAGAAGCCACCTACCATGAGCTGGGGTCCCTTGACTGTTTACTCAGCAATCCTACCAGGGCCTCCAAGAAATAAAGATCATCCAACTTTGCCTGGACCCCTCTGTCTGGATATCCGTCTGTCTGTCTGTTTGAGTAGGGACCAAGCTGGGGGTCCCTGGCTATAGGGCCAAGTGGAGCACCCAGTGACTGAGTCCCTAGCCTACTCATGCCTCCTTTGAGAGGGTCCTCTGGCTGCTGAGGGGCTGAGTGGAATGGTGACAAGGGGTCTGCCTGGGGGTTTGGGCCCCGAGTTTGAGCCCAGCTCCCCCTCCCATGGATAGTTGCTGGATGACCCCCAGCAAGTTACTTAAGGTTTCCTGGTGTCAGTCATGCCGCTGAAGTCTGAGGGACCAAGTGGGCACCTAGAGGGAGCAGTGAGTACTTGCATTGCCCACCCTTGGTGGGAGGTTGGAACACACTTCAGACTCAGGCTCTGGACAGACAAGGCCTTGTTACTGTTGCCCAGCATGGCATGTGAGCAGAGGGGCTGGGGGACTCGCCTCATTTTGGTTCCAGAGCCAAGTTACTCAGTCTCATGGAGTTCTCCTGTCAGAGAGGAGCAGAGGGAACCCAGTGGGGTTCAGGCCTCAGTTCCCTGCTAACCCCCCATCTTGAGGAGCCCCAGCAGCCTCTCCTCCATCCCAGTGCAATTCCTGGCCTTCCAGGGCCAGTGGGACTCACCTGCTTGGCACTCATTGTCTGGGATCTGGAGGGGTGGTGGGGGCAGCAGCGGAGGCAGCAGGGGCAGCAGCGGAGGCAGCGGAGGCAGCAGGGGCAGCAGCGGAGACAGCAGTGGCAGCAGCAGCGGAAGCAGCGGCAGCAGCAGCAGCAGGGGCTGCAGCAGCAGTTGAGGCAAATAAGCAGCAGCAGGAGCAATATAGTGCCTGGGGGTGGGACAGGTGTCCAGACATGGCCCTCCACCTGGGGCCTGGCCTGAGAGGCTGATGGGCCAGAGGCAGAGACCATACCCAGGGCAATGAGGAAGATAATGAAGTAAGCGGTGTCTGACTTGGACTCGAACAGTTGGTTGCTCTTCAGTCTCCCCAGCACTTCCTTTGCTGTGGTCTCCAGATCCTTCAGGTTGGCCATCCCAGCTAGAGGGTCCTGGATGCCACCTGCCCCAACCCCCCAGAGGGAAACCTTTAGAGCTCTGGGTTCCTCTGGAGCCAGGACACATACAGGCCTCCCACCATCCAGCCCCTGCCCCTTTCACACTGTTCCTCTAGGCCCCAGTTCCTGCCCCAACTTCACTTCCACTCCTCTCCTTGCCCTTACCTTGGTCCTGAACCTGACCTGGCCAGCCCCTTCTCTTCCCACTTCCCCCAGCAGCCCAACATCAAGACATGACCTGCCTCCAAGCTCTCGAAGCCTTAACTCCTGGGAGCATAGACTTCCTGCTTCCGGATCCACACCACCTGAGGCCTTAGCAACCAGCCCCTCTCTCCCCATGGCCAGCCCAGGGCTGCCAGAACTCAGAATGTGGGGCCTGTGTCCCAGCAGTGTGCTTCTGCTTCCCAACAACAGCTGGTACTGCTGGTTCCAGGAGGAGGTCACAGGCCTGTCAGTCTCCTCACCCCAGGGCTTTTTCACTTTTTCTCAGTAGACCATACAAGCAGCCTGGGACAGTGGGCACTCAGCTGCTGCTGACCATGAATAAAGGAAAGACAAAGAAAAAGAAGGGAGGGAGGGAGGGAGATTGAAAAGGAGAAAGGAGCCCTGGCTGGGTGGATCAGTTGGTTGAAGCATCGTCCCATATACTAAAAGATGGTGGATTTGCCCTGGTTGGTGTTGCTCAATGGTTGGAGCATCAGCCCTTGCACCAAAGCATTGTGGGTTCACTCCTGGTTGGAACGTATAGAAGTAAACTGATGTTTCTCTCTCCCTTCCTCTCTCTCTTAAAAAAAAAAATCAACTAGAACATATCCTCAGGTCAAGATTAAATTTTAAAAATTTTTAAGGAGAAAGGAGGGAAAGGGAGAGAGGAAGAAGTATCTTTTCCACCACCCTTCTTGGTCTGCTGGGATGTGCCTGGCACCATATTAGAAGTCTTAGATCCTTATTTTCTCTGTTCTATTCCTCACAATAATCCTGTGGTTATCTCTCAAAAGAGCTCTTTGCCCAGAAGTTGGGGCTTGGGGCCCCTAACTCTGCAATCCTTGACCATGTCAGTGAGGCAGCTCTCACTCCTGCCTTCTTGCAGAGCACAGACATTTCCAGGCCCACTAGGCGCCAGACACCACTCAGCACGTGAGGTTGGCTATAAAACAGGTAGACACAATGTTTTGTTCTTAAAATGCTTATGATCTAGTAGGGAAGAACATACCAGCTAATGTTAGGCTATATGTACATTACCTAATTTATCCCTCATGGCAGTCGTACAGTGGGTATTACTGCTAATCCCCACTGTATTATTACAGTCGTACAGTGAGTATTATTACAGATATGAAAACAGGCCTTGAGAAGCTCAGCAACCAGCTCTCAAGTCACACATCTCAGGGATTCATTTCCTGTTGTTGTAACATACTACCACAAACATAGTGGTTTAAAACAACACAAATTCATTACCTCGCAGCTCTGGAGGTTGGTGTCTAAATGGGTTGGCAAGGCTGAA